AAGTCGACAACATCCTTAAACTTGGAATTAATGAGTGCACATCTTTCATGTTTCAAATAATTTACTTCAAATTTGACTGTCTCAGTGCTGTGATTCATTCTGAGGCCCGCCTGAAAATTAAACCATTATATTTATATTTAGATAAGAATTCAAATTAAACTATTGTTCTCTAAAATTAAGGAATATTTCAAATGCATCTAGGTCCTAAGGGAAACATTTATTTTCCTTTTATGAGGCGATTATTACATGATTAATGCACTTTAAAGATGGGATTCTGGACTCATTTAGTGCTGGTTATTTCACATGAAGATCTCTGAAAGTGCCTGAAATTACAAGAAATAAAACTGGCAGCACCAACTTCATTCGCTTGATAAGGACTTTTCTCTTTTTGCATATGGCTGAAGCTTTTATCTCATAATTGGTTTGTGTATAAGAGCGGAGCCATGCAATGTGTGTGTAGCTTTTGTACTGTAACACTGGCTCTGGAATTAATGAGCCAAACACGAGCGTGTCATTTCACTCCTGCAAATATAGCACTCTTTATTCTTTTACCTTGCCCTTCTTACATTTAAAATCTTATTTAAATTTGTACTGAATCATCAAGCGTAAAGGTCTATGAGGTTGTGGTTTCTGTTAGTGATGTTTTATCTCTCAAAAATAAACAACATTGAAAAGCTTGAAGCAAGATGCAAGTCATTAGCATTCAGATGAAAAATGGAACTGTCTATTTTTAGGCTCCCTCAAGAGTTTTTATTTGTCCATGGCCCTTGTAGGTGCTGAAGTTTTTCTTATTTTAGTAATGGTGCCTTGACCTAAATCAATCATTTAAGTACCAACCTGGCCTTCTTTCAGCTTCACACACCCCCTCCGTGCTGTGTCCCTTACACGTACATGCTCTACCCTCAGGGGAAATTCTGCATTTAAGCCAGATACTTAGTAATTGAGCTCACATCACTTTCTAAAAGCATCGTCGTCTTTCTGTTTGGGGGTTGTATCTTGTTTGTATGCAACGACTTGTGCACTGACAAATGAGATGATGAATCTGCAAGATGCTTATGAGTTTACTCGAGCAATAAGATGTGAAGAATGAGTCAGATTTTGTGAGCATCAGTCAGCTGTGTGTGTTTGTGTGTTTGTATGTGTGTGTGGTTGGTGTGTTTGTGCATGTGTGTGTGTGTGTGTGTGTTGTTGCTCTTGTTTGCTCAGAGGGCAACCTTTCTGTTGCTCCTGCAGCCATAGCCAAGGTCATGTGCAGGCTAATGAAGGGCTGGCTCCTACTGCCTAACTGAAGGTGTTGAGGACTATTTTTAGCACATCATCACCAACATGCTCCTCTGCCCTTGTGAACGAATCAAATTTTACCTTCTCTGCTCGTTTTTTTCCAGAGGCAGAGTTCCTTATCAGACAAGGTTAACATGTAGGAAACATTTTATGTCCCAAAAATAGTATGTGCTGTGCAGACTGTCTGCAGGCAGTCCCTGTGTCAGACTCCATGGAAGAGGGTGCACATTTGTGTATGTTGGTGCGAGGTTTGGACAGTGGCTGGGGAAGTACTAAACATTTCAAAGTACAAATATATGGACAGTACTCAAATAAAAAAGTACATAATCAGAAAGTTTATCGCAGAATATCAGTAATCTCCAGACAGTGTATATGGGGTAATGGAAGCATTGTGCACTATATACAGTTTATGAGTCTCCAGTTCCTCTGGGAGCTTTGTCCTTTTCCTCTTTTACTGTCACATTCAAGTCCTCCTTCCTTACTTCCCCTCTCACAACCTCTCCGTATCTCTCTGTCTCTCTCTTGCTGCTCTCTTTCTTTGTTATTCTCACCTCTCTCATAAGGAAGCCGGGCATAACCCCAGGCTGTGCCAGGGCTTAAGGGGAATTGTGGTGGGCAGATCTATTTTCTGCAGGACACTGGCCGCATGTGGCCGAGATCCAGTGCCTCAAGATTGTGGATTTTAAAGTGACATTGAAACACCTGTACACTGTGATGAAATCGAATACAACAGCCCTGCAATACTGTAACTGCCTCACATTTGTAAAACTAAGCTGTAGTTGTTTACCTCTTGCTACTTGGTTAAAGGGTATAATGTTACGGATGCACTTCTGTATGACCTATTTCATTATATATGTGTTTTGAGTGTACAAAGTGTTTATAAGTGAACAAACAAGTTGTAAGTTGAAATGTGATATTGTGTGATTAGCTTATGCTACATGCTAGTTATTGTATCCATAGGTCCACACATTTTAATACACACATGCAAAAGTGTACACACATGTTTAATGCATCTTTTTATTTCCTTTTCATATCAGTTGTCTTGGTGGTCATTGTGGCGTAGGAACAAACTATTTAACCATGACCTCATGACCGCATGTCTGTTACTGGATAGCAACAATAACACATGTGAGAAGCTTATAATGCTGAGTTTTTGCTCCGGTTTGACCAGTGATGTGATGAGTGAACTCTGAGATCAGAGCTCGGAAGCTGCTAAATGCTCCAGACACCACACAGTCAGGTTTATGGAGCTTCTTTAACTCACAAAAGCTGCTTTTTCTGGTTAGAAACATGGTTGAGGAATGAAAGTGAATCAAACCAGTAAGGTTTTGGGCTGTAAAACCCAAACAGTGATCTGAAAGATGATATAATGCAATATCGCTGAGGGAAACTGCAGCGTATAGTAATAATTCACTGTGGGTTTGTCTTGGACATCTTTTACATTGACGTCATTCTTACTTCTGCCCAGGAGGTTGTGCTTTCATCTGTGTTTGTGTGTTTGTCTGTCTGTTAGTGCGATTTCACAAAAAGCACTGGATAGATTACCATGAAACTTGGTGGAAGGATGGGTCAGGAAGAACCCATAACATTTGCGTGTGGATTTTCAAAATGGATCTTGATGAAAAAACACAGGCATGTTTTTCGGGAACTGATATTTATGAATGTGTGCAATTTGGTGCTGTTCCAAATAAAAATCTGGATCCAGTGAATATAAATGTTGTTTTATGAGGGGACTGTTGGAAAATCATGACTCACCATTAAGCAGTCTGTGTTTAGGTGATGAGTCATGAATCATACATTTGCTCTTTTGCCCCAATTATTTACTTTTCTGTCTGAGTTGCGCTTAATAAATATTATAACATCATGCGATGCCATTTGTGGAGTGACAGTTGATAAGAATTTTTTTCAACTTTGCATCGCATGTTGCCATTTTTATTTTGGTTTTCAAAACTCCACATTCATAGACTTTGTGAACCTCCTCCACCCTGTACTGGTGATCTCTATTTACCGTTGTGCTCCTGAGCTTCACAGAACAACTAAAAGTCATTTTAATGTGTCTTCCCCACTTTAGCTAATGATAAGCTTTAGTAGACAATAACTATTAAAAAAGGACTTTGTCGTTATAGAGAATGCTTTGGTCACATGACTGTAACCGAGCGGTTATTCAGAATTAGGCCAGAGCTGGGCCCAAGGGGAAACGCCACAGTGACCGCTCCAAATGGTGTCTTCAGTGTGCGCCATCTGTGTCTTTATATATACTCATATATGCATGTAAGTGCATTTGTATTCGTGTGTATGAGCACTCTCTTGCCCACAGATCTCTAAGGGTTAGCCGAGGTTGTAGTTTCAAATCAGTTCGGGGGGAGTGAGTGAGAGCAGTGTGTAGATGTGTGTGTATGACATGCCTGGAGACTATAGTAAGAAAAGAGGACATTAAATCACTCAAGCTAAGTTGTGTTTGTGTGTGCATAGGCTGTATGTATGATTCATGACAGGTTTGTTTTAGCACGCTTGTTTAGTTTGATGTCTGGAGAATCACTTGGAGGCGCTGGTAGCGAGTAAATAATTGAGTATTTTGGCCGGATCAATGTTATCTTCTCCAAAGGGCTCACCAGCGAATTAAACTGTGTCCGAATTCTGAGAAATGCCTTAAGACCAAATAAAACCACTTTTTTTTTTCCAAACAATCGCTGCATAAACAGATTCATTCTAATTATCTCGGACATTGGTTTTACATCATCCTAAAGATCACATCAATCCTGAGGCTTTGCTCCAGACAGACAACACACTCATGAATTAGAAGCTGGATCATCCTCTCGGAGCAATACTTGTCTTGTCTGGCACGTCTGCACGCAGTCATCCATATAATGGATCAAAATGTTTGATGTTAACTGGAAGATGATTAAGCCTTGCTGCTCTCTCTACCTCTGGAGGTTCTCATTATGCACCAAACTCTGGATCTCACACTGAGCCCCTATGGGCTCCATGCATACAAACGAATACTCTCATGTATAATTTGAATGTATAGGACCAGAAACTGTGTACTCTTTTAATAGCCTTGTGTGTGTGTTCCCTTGCCATCCCATACATTCCCACAGGTCGCCTATAGCCAGTCAAACCACAATGCATATTCATGTTTTTTTTACCCCCGCTGCGGGATTTCCTCATTACTTGAGAGCAGAAAGCTATAGGCCCGTGACCATAAGAAGAATGAGGTGGAAACACAGCCTCTTATTGCTTTTGTTGAGAGCACTTACAAGCTAATGGTTAATCATCAGAGTAAACATGAAGATGGATCACATGACAGTCCAGACAATTTATGGCTCATTTGGCATTGTCTTGTGTTTTTTTTGCTTTTTCAAAGTAACACCTGTTAAATGGAGATAAGTCTATTTTTTTTCATTGAAGGTAAAATCTGTTGGAATGCAAATTATAAGTATTATCATGAAAGGAGAAAGATAAAGTCAGGAGCAAGAGCCTTATGTGTCAGTACAATAAAATTGAATATATACAAATAAAAGTTAAAACAATTATACAAATATGTTCAATAGGGAAATACAGAAATGCAGCCCATACACCAACTGTGACATACATAAACCTTAGAAAATGACATCCCAGTATTGTTAACATGTGAGTTCATCATCATGTAAGTACAAATCAGTTAATTCATATTTAACCTTGTAATAATGTTGTTTTCTCTCTGTGTCTCTGTTCTCCAGTCCTATAGAATCCTGCCAGAACTTCTACAAAGACTTCACGTTACAGATCGATATGGCCTTTAACGTCTTCTTCCTCCTTTACTTTGGCCTGAGGGTAAGCTGGAGCATGTGCATGCTCGCTCACGACAAACTCATTCAATCATGCATACTGTAAACTGTCCACAATTACAGACCTCGGTGCAAACATTGTGCATGCAGCAATCTGAGCGTCATATAAGAGTCAAATCTGGAGCATTTTATGAAATGTTCTCTCATACTCTGCGTCCTATTGAAAATACATAGTAACTCATTGTTATTGGATGTTTTCTTGTTCTTCATGTAATGAAGAATTACAATTTTTAAACTTTGTGGAAAAAATAAACATTTGAGAGATTATTTTTACAAGGTGACCAGCTTTCTTTCCACACAAAGATTATTTCGCTTCCACAGCCTTTAGTTTAAAGCGACACTGATGTGATATTGCTGCCAGAGCAGCGTTCCAACGGTTCAACGCAAAACCCGACATCCTAAATGAATGAACACATAACAAATAAAGTCATAAGCTGCTTACACAACACAACCAAACGTTTGTTCGTATGACTCAGCAAGTGCGGAGTGACGCTTTTGTCATTCTTTACAGGGTGTCAGCAAAGCCAGGGGAAGAGGCAGCGTGCAATTTGACTGGTGGTCTGCGCTGGCGTTTTGTGTGAAATAAAAATCCAGGTGTCATTTTGAATATTTATTCTTATCTCAACAGTTCATAGCAGCCAACGATAAGCTGTGGTTCTGGCTGGAGGTCAACTCCGTGGTCGACTTCTTCACTGTTCCTCCCGTGTTTGTCTCCGTCTACTTAAACAGAAGCTGGCTCGGTAAGTCTGTATATCTCCATCTCATTAATCCATTCTTTCACTCTCACTGTGCTGCCTTTTCTCCTCTTGCTCTTCTTTCTCTCTTTCCCCCATTTTCTTCATCAGTTCCGCCAACCTACCCCTTCTTTTTCATCTTTCACTCTGCCTGCCTCTCCACCCCGCCTCCCTCTCCCTATTACTGGGAGTGTGTCTCTGAGGCCCTGGTGCTCGGGGCTGCTTCCCTCATCATTGAAAGTGACAGGGCTGAGTTCCTCTGATGTTTCAGGGAACACAGACACACAGAACAGAGTGGATGGGCTAATGGGAGCGAGAGTGACTCAGATTGGGGCTGGACTTGGTCAAATGTGCCGTGCGGTGGAGGCATTGCACCTTGAACACCTCATTGTGGTCCATAACTGCCATTTAATGGACTCATTCACACTTTCATGAGAAAAATGCACACACAAAAACATTTTGTTCTCCCAAAATACACATGCACGCACATTCTTGCATGAGCAGACTGGAAAACACCCTAACCTGTATTACATAACGACCTACTTGCAGGGCATACAGAGTGTTGTGTCCTAAATTACACTGCAGAAGGGGAGTTTTTTTTTGCTGTGTTCTTTTTTGGCTGCGCTGCTCCTGTACTCATTTATAAAAGTGCCCTCCACTGTCATTCTGAATTGCAGAAATTCAGCGAAAAGCTAATCCATTGTCAATCTAAGCATGACATTGGACCACCAAGCCTGTCAATTCAGAATTCAATGCTGTAATATTAAACATAGTTGAAGTTGTGGTTCTTGAAGCAAAAGACACAAACATTTGATTATAGACTTGTGAACAGAAATATAAATGCCCATGATGCCGAACAGTGATATTTAAATTTACAATCCCTCCAAAGAGACTAAAAGAAAGTCCTCTGTCTTTTTCCTAAGGCTTGTTTTCACTCAGTCATTCCTTCCATTAATAAACCTTTAAAATTACATTTTAAACATTGATTTCAGGTGGCACTGCCCCGTTTCGTCTGAGTTTTCTGTATTTGTAAGCTTCAGAAAATGTGCATAAATGCAGAAAAAATGAACGCAGAGTAGGGACAAAGATGTTGAGCTTTAATATCTTTGGAATATATTTGGAGGACATCACCTTTAATTTCCAGTTTTTTTTACTTTACAAGGACCAAACGTTTAATCATTAAATTTAGAAAACAAGCAGCAGAAACTCAATAATGACAATAATCTTTAGTTGTAGCCCCATTTTAGATTATCTGGCCTGTTTGTTGGCCTTCTCGACTCTCGCCCCGGTCGACTCGTTGAAGCAATGTATCGTTCAGCATTAACCTTGGTGAGAAAAATGTTAGAATCACTGATAAGAAATGATAGTCGGAACTAGACTGTCAGATATACTGGGATATGGAAGATACCCTCCGCCCCGCTGTGTATCTTCCTGCCTCCTTGTTAAATGCACACTTGAATCACTTAACCTGTGAAGTTATTTGAGACTGTGACTGCCTGATCTCGAATGTTGATGAGGCTTCGTTCAAAAAAAAAGCTCAGGTGGCCCCATGCTGTGTAATGAAGTAGATGTATGGTCTCTGGTATTCATGATGTAAGGTGTCCTCATCTCCTCCTAAATCAGCGGGTGCAGGGGCCTTGATGAGGATGATGAAAGACTGTGAAATTGTGGTCGGCTGCTGCCTGACATTCTGTGATGAATGATTACCTGTGTGTATTAAGTATCGTGTGTCTGGGGTTGATGTGGAAAGCTAAACCACCTCTTATTTACTACTAACACTGCAGCGGTGTTGTGCATAAACAAGACAGAAGGACTGTGAAGCGTTTGTTTTTTAATAGATGCCCTAGATTCATGTGCAGTTCATCTGCATTTGTTTTTTTACTACTCTAATTCTGAAAAGAGAAGAATCTTGGAGTCTGTTTCCACAAGGATGGCATCTCGTGCAAACACTCAAGCCATTTGTTTTGCAGTGTTGGACATGGATAACCTCATCGCAGTATAGCAACACAACTCTTGCGTGCATGGAGTGTGTGTTTATCGGCGGTGTGCTATTCCATGTGTTAAAGGCTACATGGTGTCGCAGTTATAAAATTAACAGTGTGAAGACCTTCGGTTGGATCTAGTTGCCCTAACAGGCTGGTGATAGCTTTCAGAATACTAATGTGAAGTGTTAATATTCAGGATCCAAGGAGTCGGGGCAGGAATCATGATTAACTGCTTATACACTGTATTAATATGGATATGAGGACATACAGTGCAATGTTTTGACAGGAACATAAGCACAATTAATTAAAGGAAAAATTACACCAACATATGGTGCGTATTCTTCATTTACTCTCAGATGGCAATGTCTGACAGTCACTGATAATGTGAATGTAAATGACATTGCACCCTCCCTAAAGACTATTGCCCCGTCTTCATGAAACTACTCCATAGGAAGCTTGACAGAGCCATAACAGTTTTCCTAATAATCAATAAACTAATCCATAACTGCTATTACTTTCACGTTTGTATTTTAACACACATTTTAACCAGCACCCGACCCTTATCTCTTCAATCCTTGCTTCCCTTGATTGGCTGCCAGTGAAAATTACTATTGATTTTAAGATTCTTTTGATAACTTTTATAGCTCAGCAGAGTCTGGCCTCCAATTATATTACATAGCCACTAACTCCCTATGCTCCAAGCCGTAGCCTTAGATTGTCCAACCCGCACTTGCTACTAGTTCTTATAAGGCTGGTCACTAAGGTTTTTTTTTTACATCAGGGCCCAGACGCTCTGGAGCTCCATGCCTGAGGAGATTAGATTTACCCCCACTGTTTTTAAATCATTGCATGAAACATATTTTTATGTCTGATTCTAATTTGTTCAAACAGTTTGTTTTTAAAAATTTGAAGTTTTTTAAGGGTTAGGGTTGTGATTAGGGTTAGGGATGAAAACCCATTGGAGATCAAGATATTCTTCAATAACTTTCTTTCTGAAGGTCATAGAGACTTGGAAGTTGGTTCCATCTCCACTAATGTGGGTATGCCCGATCCATTGTTACCCCCGAGCTTCTACGACCTTTTTTA